TCTGCATTGCTCTGGGTTATGCTAACAGTTGCTTAAACCCCGTCCTCTATGCCTTCCTGGATGAAAACTTCAAGCGGTGCTTTCGTGAGTTCTGTATCCCGGCCAACTCCAGTTTGCTCCTAGACGAGCAGCGCAAGAGATCACTGAGGCAGGAGAGAGAATGTGCTGAGGAGGAAGAAAAAGAGGTGGTTATTGATGAAGGTGTCATTCCAATGTGCGTGGATTAGAGATTTTATGGTCGTATTCTTGCATGTTAACCTCAGAATTTAGCTGGCAGTCGATTTGTGGTGATTCAGAATTGGAAGTATGGATTGTTTCACATGGAACAAAAAAGGGCCTTTTCCCCTGCTTTTTGAGTCTTATAATTTTTACACGGTTTATTGTAGCCCTTATATAAATAGCCAATTAATTATGTTATTTATACAAATAAATTATTTAAATTTTTTATTTGAATTATGATGTAATTGGTATTTTATTTTCTAAGTGCACTGCTTTTGGTTTGAAACTGGTTTATTGGATATGCAAAATATTTGTTGATTTATTCTTTTAACAGCTGTTTAAAAATGTATATATATATATATATACTATTCTTTTGAACTTTCTGTTCTTAGAACTAAACTAAAACTCTATAAATTTATAATTTAACTATTATCACTGTAAAGCCACTTTGGAACAATCTGTATTGTTAAAAGCGCTATATAAATGAAGATGTCTTGACTTAGCTATTCATCAGAGAATCCTGAAAAAAAAGAGTAACATTTTCCACAAATACATTAAGTATGTTTTCTACATTGACAAGTGTTTAGAAAAAAATATTTTGCCATCATATGGAATTTAAATATATATAATATAAACATAAATAGTTTTTTTTAAGAAAATAATAATATTTCACAATATGCTTTTACTGCCCTGTTTTTAATTAAATACAGCCTTGTTGAGCAAAAACATATTAGAAACAAACCTCACACTTTTGTACAATATATATATATATATTTATATATATATTAGATACTTAAAAGAATACAGTAACGTTATTTAAATAAATTGACATTTAATGACTGAGATACAGTACTGATGACAAAGTAAATTCCTGTATATAATGACGAGCCTTTAAGTATTTATTTTCAACTAAATGGTTTGACAGTGATTCAGAATGACAGGTTGGTGCTAACAAAGACAATAATCTTTCCCCCCAAAAAAGAAACTGTTGATTTCTGAGTTTCATCCGTTTGTTCCGTGGTGGGATTGAGAGGATGTTTTCTTGATCTTGGCCAGCTTTCAAGGAACACGCTGTTGCGAAGGATCTTAGAAACATCTGTTTTTGTCTGTGTGGTGTGAAGTGCCAACCAGATGGTCTTCTAATGCTTGATACACGCTCCTTATGCCATGTTTCATCCTGTCACAGCTTTTAAACTATTTTAATTATATTCTTGGCTGTAGGGACGCAAATAATGAAGAGTGGATAAATTAACTTCTTGTTCTTCTATACAGATTGGTTAGGTGAGGAAATAAGTTGTGTAGAGAGTGACTGAATAATGCATGTTGCATTTTAGAAAGTGTAGAAGAACGCATTGTCTTATTCTTTTTGTGCCAATTGGTTTGATAAAAAGGGACTGCATGAATGAAACAATAAAATACTTTAAATACAATGTAAGTCTCCTCGGATAAAAGTGTCTGCCAAATACATAAATGAAAATGTGTCATATAATAATAAAGTGTAATATTTATTATATATTATACAAATATCTCTGAATAAAAATATAAATACAATTTCTGTTCAAGTATTTATTAGTAAACAACAATTAGATCTTATTAGGAAGAATTAAAACCCACAAATAAGTTTTTAGTTGTCATTTTCTTTTCACTAACCATATTAATAATTCTGACTTGGTAGTCATTGAAATGATTGAGGACATTTCATTTTTTGTAAACAAGGCTGCCTGAAGACCCTAAATTAAGAATGTGTTTTGTCCATATCTTCGTCTCAGCCTGTCAATGATGATTGAAAATCACTTTACTATTGCCATGATCCTGGCCTGTGTTCCCCTGGAGAATGATTTCCCCCCCAAATCATTTCAGTCGAAATCCTGCCCTGCAGCTAATTTCATTGGTTAAGGTTACAAAGACGGTTAGGTTTAAGGATTCGGGGGAAATCACTTCCCTGGAGGTCATCGTCTTCTTTTTTGTTTTGCGGCGGTTGGCATTCAGCTTATTGGTTTACTGCCACCTTCTGCTCCGGAGTGTGGATCAGATAACAGGTTTATGATCTGATTCTGAATTCCTTACCCTTTCTTTCCCAACTAACACACGCACGAATACTCTCACAAACACACACATACACGCACAAAAATGTTTCCTCTGGTCCCATGGACTTTTATGTTATTTCCTGTGCCATGCCATGTTTTGTAGTCCTTTGTAGTTCTTGCTAACTATGTCTGTGATTTATTCCCAGGTCTGTCTTGTTTGCCTAGAACCCCTTGTGTATTAATGGTGTGTTCATGTCCTATGGAAAATATGATATTTTCCACTTGTGAACTGGTATTTACCAGTGTGTTGCGTTGCGTTCAAGTGCTTTTGTTGTCGTAATGTGGTAAAAAGATGGAGATCCAGACCTGTTATTTAGCTAAAACTATTTTAGATTGCTTAAGTCATCTGGTACAGCAAGAAGATGATTTATCAAAACTCAAATGGTAAATAATATGCTGTATATTTTCTAGATCGTGAACATATTGTTACCATTCACGACTCTCGTGTTGCTCTCCGCCATTTTGAAAAGGTCAAAGGTTATCCCATTCTCAGCAACTCGTGCATCAAATATTCTACGAGCTGCCCAGTGGAAAATACAACATTGGGGTGTTCATGTGCATTTCCACACCGGCTTTTGGTATTTACTATAATTACCATAGCATGTGAACGCACCATCAAACCCCAGTGTTTCTTCTGTTCCTTGTCGTGTCTCAAGTCCGGTGGTCGGTCCCAGATGTCCTACCGCCATCGTCTGCGCATCCTGTAATGGCAATCTTATGTGTTTGTGATGCACGCACATCTACAGTTCCTCCCGGGACGGCGGTGTCTCCATCTCTTGAACCCTTCGCCTGATAACAGCCAAGGAAACTGTCCCTGAACTCTCTGCTAGCTCTGTCATGGCCAATGAGGCCGCATTTAACTCTCTGTTTGCTCTGACATGACTACAGAGGTCTTTCCTGAACTATCTGTCGGCTCTGAAACAACTACGGAGGGTGTCCCTGAACTCTCTGTGTCGGCCCTAACACAACCACAGATGTCGTCCCTGAACGGTGTGTCTGCCCTGACACGACCACGGAGGTCGCCCCTAAAAGTCCTGTCTGCCCTGACATGACTACAGACCGGAGGTCACCCCTGAACTCTCTGTCTTGATAAATTTCATATACCAACATATCAATCTTCCTCTTCCTCTCATGCTGTTTAAGGTCAAATCCCTGTTTGGCTAAGCCATACCATCTCACTTTTAAGACCAGGCAGTACCAGAGATGAACTAGCTAGTTAAATTTTTCTTTGTAGAATTTGTACTTTACCCAATTTGTCAGGAAGTGACCATGCTTATTCATTAATTCATTTATTTATTATTTATTTGTAGAGCACATTTAAAAACAACCCATGGTTGACCAAAGTTCTGAACAGGACAGATTAATCTGTAAAAGGTTTATACAATATAATAAAATGTATCGATACAATTACAAGCAATAGAATAAATAATACATTACATAGGCTATATACAATTGAAGGTTAATGAAGTGCATTCAGGATCTATATTCACAAATGTTTTGAAGCTTTAATTTGAAAGTAGCAAATGACAATACTGTTCTGATTGATAGTTGTAGACTATTCCATAATTTGGGCTTGCTACTTCTGAGCAAGCCCCAACTACTTACATGCTACTACACAGTCGAGCCAAACTGCAATCAGTGCCCTCATTTCCAGGAGGTGGCAGTACTAGCACACATCTGAAGTTTCAGTCTATTGAAGCAGAGGGTCAGCAATAATTGGTTTCCTTTATAATTTAGACGACAAATGTAGAGTTATGCCCCGAGTCATAAGTAAATATGTTAATATAAAATTGATAGCCTATATTTGGATATGTCATCTGAAAATCTTGCTAAAAAAACTCGATTGCAGTCAAATGTAGTACATTTTTGGTTAAAATAATTATCAATATCTACAAAAATCAAATATCTACAGAGACTTGACTCTAAATGTTCTGTCTTTATTCGCTTTATTAAACAGAGTTTTGTATGGTAATATGTAGGCTACTGTGGTGGGAGCTGTTTTAAAAGATTGCATTTGCACTACAAGGGAAGATTATGACTTCATTTAGCTACTATACCCACGAGGCGCCGCTGTTTACAACGCAGTGAGACTCCGAAGAGTAGGCCTATCTTTGTCTAATGTAGGCCTACGTGTATTTATTTATTTCATAATATCCTTTTTGCTGCATATAATCAAACCAGTCCTACCCCATATTTAGGATATTTTATGTAAATATAATATAAAATATAAAAATAGTGTTAATTAAATAACTTACATGACGCTACTTAACTAATTTGTTTCAATGTAGGCTATATGATGTGTAGGCTGCATTTAGCGCATTATAAAGCATTGACATAATTTCTGTGCCTGTTACATAATGTTGTAACTTAATATATTTCCGTAAACTTATCCAGCTTGAGACAACAAGATACAGGCTCTAAATTGAATCTGAATCAGGACAGCAAAGGCACCTTTCGTCTGGATGTCATCCACCTATCGCTGTTTTATTCATCCTATCCTAGCTATAAACATTATATACGTGTGGACAAAAACTAAACACGTGCGTGCACACCTACAGTCATGTCATGATACTGGCATAGACTGCCGTGATAAATTGCTTTTTTATGTGGAAAAACAGGAGCTAGATGTTCAAGCAGGAATGACGAGAAGCGTTTTCGTCCCAGTCCCAGCCCTCTTTTCTCCCTCCCACACAGACACACACGACCCCCTCCCACCCACACGCCCGTCTCTCCTTTTCATCTACTCTCTTTTCTACAACAAACATGGCCGCGAAATCAGACGGTACAGCCGTTTCTTTGCAGAATGACATTCCGCAGACGTGCCTCCCCGGACCGGAGAAGCGCTCGCCACAGTTGCGTCCCGTCGGGAAGGAGTATTCCCTCCTGGACTGCTCCTGGACCCTCTGCGCCCTCTTGGTCTTTTTCTCGGACGGGGCTTCAGACCTGTGGCTGGCTGCCGAATACTATCTCAGACGGGACTACTGGTGGTTCGCTCTGACACTCGTATTTATCATCATTCCGTCCGTGGTGGTGCAGGTGCTCAGCTTCCGATGGTTCGCCTACGATTACTCGGACGCCAACGGGAGCGGCACGGCTGCGGCGGCATTGGTAGCGGCGTCCAATGCTGAGAGCCACTTCAGCACCAAGGACAGCGATCAGCGGGGCGCTGGCCGCTCCGCTGCGGTCCCCGGAACCCGGAGCAACGCTCAGAGCTGCTGCAGAGCCTGCGTGTGGCTCTTCCAAAGCTTCGTGCACGTTCTTCAGCTGGCACAGGTCTGGAGGTACGTGAGCTCATAACATAAGCAAATTCTAGATTCCTTTAACGTGTCACATCAGCAGTTCATTCAGCATCATATTGTTCTGTCATCCTGTACTGTACGTACCCCTGACTTGCCCTCTCTACAACAATTCCACACCAGCAGTCATTCAGGCCCATTTAAAGAAAATATCAGGGACAACTTTTATGCAGTTAATATGGATTGATTTAATCTTTTGAAAGCACGTGATTGGATATAAAGGGACCAAACATAAAACACATTTTCAGTGGCCTCTAATATAAATGGAATGTGGAAAAGACAATAGGAACTATTAAGGATTCAACCTCAATGCTGTTAGTTTGCATTGCCAATGAATGTCCTGCAGTCATAGTGAGGAAAAGGGATCCTCCTTGTATTTCCTGTTGTTCCATGCCAGTTCATCATTATCTCCAAGCAATTTGGTTGTAGGCTCCTCCTCCTCTTCCTCCTCCACCTCTCATCAGCTTCTGGGTCAATAATCTCCCGGAGAGACTCCTCCACTCATCCACTCAATCTGTTCACCAGAAATCGCCTTATGCACACACTCTAATATCCTTTTGTCTTTAGAGCAGTGCAAAAGAGTTTTCTGCTTTTCTTTTTCATGTAATGCCAGGGGTTTATGATGAATGAGAAGTGTTATTTTTTGATGGATTCTGCAGTGTTTATATGCAGCTGATTTTACCTTAAAGTTGCCATACACCAGCCCATTCTCACCCCCAAGGCGTCACTTAACTGACGCCTTGGGAAGCATTTGACATGCTTCAATATCTGACGCTTTAGGCGCCCTTTAGCGTCAGTTAGATGACGCCTAGGATCGCGTGTACCCTACCCCCACACCTAAACCTAACCGCGTCCTCTAACTGACGCTTTCCTTTAGCGTCAGTTAGTTGACGCCGTAGGATCGCGTCATGTAAGTGACGCTAAAGGGCGCATAAAACGTCAAATATTGAAGCATGGTCAAAGGTGACGCCTTGGGGTGAGAATGCGTTGCAGCCACTCTAAAGAAAATGCTGGGTTGTTTCAACCCAAATTTGGGTCAAATATGGACAAACCCAAATGTTGAGTTAAAAATGTAATTTAAAAAAATTACAGTTAAATGTGAAAGTTGAAGCCAACATTTGGGTTTGTCCATATTTGACCCAAATTTGGGTTGAAACAACCCAGGATTTTTTAGAGTCCAAAGATGATGATATTCCATCAGCTCAAGAAACACAGTTAGACATTAGATTTCACTTCCTAACACTCTTTTCGCTCAGTGCGATTGCCATGAGGAGAATGTGCAATTGCTGACAGACAGTGTGCTGCAACACACAAAGCAATTTCCATAATAATGCAGAGAAGAAAATTTGCAGCCCACAATCCCGTCCAAAAGTTTAATCCACTCACATATAAATCAATAGAAACACACCCACACATATTAGAGGCATGTGTAGTGAGTGAGTGCCGTGTAATTGTGGTTGTAATCACAGAGGCGGCGGTGATGTGCCTGTCTTTCAATGCCTGTGCTGATCAGCAGTGACAGGACTGAGCGTGTGTGTGACTGGACACTGCTGCCGGCTGACCTACAGGGAAACGCAGGGTTATTGATGATGTTTGCTGCCACTGATATCACAAAGCTGCCGGTCATTTCCGTCAAGCTTCATTTATGCTGCTGTCACAACACTGTTGTCGTCTGTGTAATTCTATGTCTGTCACTCATTCTTTTCCTCCTGATCTTCCTCTTCCTCTTTTTTCTGACAGCATATTTTGCATAATAAACAGTTTTCAGAAAGAGAATGTGGATATTTGTAATTCAAAACAAGCCAGTCAGCCAGCCAGCAAATAATTTTCATCTCATTTGAATAAAACGAACCATTATCCCATTATTCACTAATTAGCCTTGAGAATGTTAGCCTAAGCCTTTCTGAGCTACATTCCCATTAATGGATAATTCATTCAAAATATTTTCAGAAAAGAAAAACATCATTGGCACTGCAAGCTAGTGTCTATTGAAATATCTTTTGTCGTCGCTTTCTATCAGTATTGCTAAGAATAGCACCTTTTAAGAGGCACGTTTTGCCATTTTTGCCAGTTTGACCTCCTATAAACCCACATGGATTTCTTTTTGTTCTTCACCAATACTCTCTGACTGAGCCTTTGCTTAAAAGCTTCCGAGCGGAGCTTTCCAGGCTCTGTCTTTGTTTGATTGGAATTAGCAGTAATGCCATTAAAGCTGCCACCAGCACTGATCTTGTCACATATCTGCATTACAGGGATTATAGCTGTAGTGTTTACATGTCCTTACCTGCAGAAGGCAGCCAGAGAGGGAGAGAGAGGTGCACTGTTGCAAAGAAAGAACAGGCGAGGAGTGATAGGTGGAGAGTAGATGCAAAAATTGAGGTGCATCTTTGAGAGAATGATTGAAAAATGAGAAAACTTGATATGAAAATTAGCCAAAACAATTTCTCCTCATGGCTTGTAATTACACAGAAATTAATGATGTGCAATAGAATATACATTTTCTCTCTGTCTCTCACATTTTCAAAGCGTTGTGTAAAAAAGTGAGCCCTATTTGATGGTCCCCTCTGAGTACTCTGACCTGGTTCACTGAACACGTTCAAAGATGGTTTTCGATTCCATGTTCCCTGCAGCATTAGATGAGCAGGATCAATCAGGATCAGTCCTCACCATAGGAGAAGAAAAGACACCTTTACACAGGCTGCGCTGAGATAAATGTCTTTTCAGAAGTGTTTGTTAAACCTAAAAATGAACAAGTTTCATATAAGCAATTTAACAAATATCTTGACCGTTTTTATTAAAACATAAAACATGACTATTTATTTTAAATAATGCGATATTAAATATTTAAGAAAATCTCTAAATTGTATGAGTATAATTGGTGACAAACGATTAATTGTGATTAATCACATTCAAAATAAAAGTTTGTATTTACATAATATACAGTATGTGGGTGCAATGTGTATAATTATTTTGTATATAAAAAATATTAAGAAAAAATATTATTTATATATAAAATATTGATGTTTATATATAATATAAATTATGTATAATCTATACAGTATATACATGAAAATATTTCTTAAATATATACAAGCATGTGTGTGTATTTATATATGTAAAATAATTATACGCAGTGCACCCATATATATTATGTAAACAAAAACCTTTATTTTGGATTGCGATTAATCATTTGACAGCCCTAACTTAAAAAGTAATGATACATGTTCATTCAGTTAAGCGCTGATTCTCCGGTAGCTCCTGCATCTTTCTGAATGATTCATTAAAATAACCATCTCGTCAGAGTCATTTGTTTGTGAATCGGTCGGACTATACTGCTTCATACTGTATTTGGTTCACTAAAACGAATAGGCTCTTAACAGTCATCTATTCATGAATGGGACTACATTCACTGTACTGTATGTTATTGGCTCACTAATAAAATAGGAACACAATGCTCATTTGTTGACTTCTCTGTTTGCACTTTGTGATTAGGCAAAGCTCAGTCAAGGTTGGGGTGAAGGATGAGGTGAGAGGTGAGGACTCAAAGATGCAGAGAAATGTGTTTCAGGGATGAGGACATAAGGAATGTACGACAACGAACTGGCACAGGACCGCAAACACAAGGAAAATAAGGGTTTACACGACACTACGCAACTACACACCCTAAAAGGCAGTTTCGACTAAAAACAGATTTTTTTTTATGTTGTTTGGCTGTTAATTTACACAGTAATAGCGTTTCAGAGGCCTGAAAATGGGATTCAAGTGCAAGTTTTTTGAAAATGATTCCCTTATTGTTTTGTTTTAAACTACAAAAATGTGAATTTGTGAAAACGGTGTCGTCATGCAACATGCGCATTATGTGTTCAGTCTATAGGAGTGTAGCTACCCTATCTCACGACCAATTCGTACGAGTGA